AAAAAAGCAAAGCCCTTCCCCAATCGGGAGACCACGCCAAGCACAATAATGGCAGAGTCACGGCCCAAGAGTCCGACCCCGAAACTGCAGGAGAACGCCTAACTGAGTCGGGAACCATCGGGCCTATATATCAGGCTAACCAAGTCGGGTTAATGTATGAGTCACAAATCAGTCAATCGAATCAACTTGGGTGCTGACAAAACATCTCGCAAACCAATTAATCGACTGAAATTTGAGACCTGTCACAAATGATTTTCGTTAAAATTTAACTTTACAGTCAAATTTTGCTTAACTTTTAAATTTCAGAAGATTAAAAAATGTCTAATAACTAAACATTTAAATTTATTATTAACTAATTTTAACCATTGTTTTAAATAGCTCGCTATATAGCTTTTTTTTTGGAAAAACGCGACATAACCTTATATATTTAGCGTTTTTCTAGAAAAGCTTACGTGAAATGTTGAAACGACGCGCTTTCTTACGCTATTTTGCGCTATTTCACGCTATTGTACGCTACATTGCGCTATATTTCTGCAACGACATTTGAACAATAAAATGTTCAAAAACTCGTATTTTTTAGGGATCAGAGTCATATTTACAAATGACAATTAAAAACTAAAAATTTTGATAATGATTTCAAATTAAAAGTTTGAAATTGCAAAGTCCTAAATTGAATAGTGCAATATTTTTTTAGTCCGTTTTTGTTATATCATTTTATTTTTTAATATTTGACATTTATATAAAGAATAAAAAAGTTCATATCTAATGGTTAGAATTAAGTCGTAGTTAAATAAAAATATAATAATTAAAATGCATATACTTCAAATTATACTATGACTTACCTCAATATATTTTCGTTGTTTGTTTTTACTTTTTAGTATATTCGATTTTGTTATTAAATATTTCTATTATGATTATATTTACATTAAACATTTGTGAGAATTACTCCTTAGATGTTATTTTTTAAGTCATTCAAATGCTATGATAATTTTTGTAATCAACCATCTATTTTTATTATATGCAAATATACTTGTAATATTTCTATAAAAAAATTATACCCAAATAGCTTACGCAACATGCAACGCTATTTACGCTACACAGTATAAAGACCAAAACGCGATGCATTACACTATACGCGTTTTAAAACACTGATTTTAACATAAAATTCATTGTCTCAAAAAATAAATATAAAAGTACCTATATGAGAAATATATAGTTTCTAATTTAATGTCTTGGGAATTATGCTTCAACATTCAAAATATTTGACACAATTACCGTATTTTTGTTTTTTTAATTAAAAATTATAATACAAAAAATTGAATAAAGTATAATATAAAAAAATAACTTTCTTTTTTCCCGAAACGATAGGAGATATTACAAATTAAAATGCACAAATGTGCGAATACACAGCAGCCAACGACTGAATATACAGCAGCCAACAGCTGAAAAAAGTGGGATGACAGGTCAGAAGAACGCTAGAGTCCTGGCTCGCAACGCTAGAATTGAAAGATCGCAACAGACTAACCAACAACACACTACAAAACACAAACTAAACTAAAATAAACTAAAAAGACCACAACAGGGTAATACCCGAGTGTTGGATCCCAATGGAATAATAAGGTGACACTCGGGCTCATAAAGACCAAACGCCCAGACCAAAAAAACTGAGAACAACACTAATAAAAGAAACAAAGGCCAAATACTAACCTCCCTCGCCCAATACATCTAGATAAAAGGCAGACAAAATCAACTCAACATATAGCTCCAAAGCACAGAAATAACCGTCCGCCACTGCAGAAGGCCTAGCAAGACGGAACCAGCACCTCATAATCAACCGAAGAGCTGGCCCGCACTCCTATCACGAAAGGCAGTAACTACGCCTCAACCCAGCCCTAGACGCCTGAACACGACCAGACAGCCGAGCACTAACTGGATACATCAGACCGTCCCCAGCAGAAACTACAACCATCCACCGTGAACCCCCAAACCAACTCGCCATGAAGACCCCCCGGCCATGGACACGATAGAGAAACCGAGACAAAGCAGCAAAAACGGGCCATACCTTCAATTGACCCAGCCTAGAGCCAAAGCATGAAGAAGCCACTGTCGCTCGCTGCTTCGTCGGCGAAAAGGCACAGTCCCGACCGGCGACGAGAAGGGGGGAAAGCGTTCCAGCGGCCCAGCCAAAACGGAAGCAACCAACCTTTCCTCGTCTATGGACCCGCACCACATCCCGACCACCGCTGTCCAATTCTGAACTCCGGCGACCAACGAGGCAAAAGGACTTACCCGCTGAACGAATCGCGAAGCCGGAAGAGAGCAGCAAAACATGGGGAAAGGCGGCACCGCCATGGACGAGCAACGGAGGCCGTCCACCTCTAACCCCAGACGAACGGCGAGGGCGGAAATCCGACGCAAATTCGAGAAGAGGAGAAGCTAGGGTTTCGGGCGAGAAGGGGTGAGAAGAGCGGACGAAACACAATTTGAATCATCCAAGTATAAAAATTAGCCCTTTTCTCCTCATCTCATAACCAATTCCATGTTGGTTCTAGAGATTTAAATGGATCGTGTCGGGTCGGGTCGGGTTTTGGCAAACCCGAACCTGACTCGCATATAATTTACCCTACCCAAACCCAGTCCGTTACTCGGTTAGTGATTTTTGGGTTTGAGTTGACTTTTACCAGGCAGGTTAGTGGGTTTTCGTCGGGTAAACGGGTAATCTAAGTCTTAAATTTGGGCTTTATCCGACATCGTTTCATATGAAAAATAAAATAATATAATTTTACAATTAATTATAATGTAACAAATAAATATATTAACTATGTTTGACAATAAAAGACTATTAAAATATTATATTATATTTGGAATAAATAATGAGATATAATTTTTATCATTTATAGTCTATTAATAATATAACATTTAAAAATTAAGTATTTAAATTTTTTATCGTACACTTAACAAAAAATGATAATAAAATCATAAAAAAATATAATTATATTTAACCATTAACAAAAAAATATAATAGATCATCTAATTTTTTTAAATAACACATGACTATTTTATATTTATAATAAGTTATAAATATATAATATGTATATATACATATATAAGATTCAATGGTTACGGGTAAACGGGTAGGGTAATCAGACCGGGTAATAAGTTTTCCTACTATACCCACACCCGACCCGACCTGGACTTCGGATAGCATAATTCTACTTGAACTCGACCCGAAACCCAATCATCTCGGGTTTACCCAACCCGAAAATGCGGGTAACCCGCAGGTAACCCGATTCTACGGGTTTTATTGACATCCCTAGTTGGTTCTTTTTTCCCACATTGACACTATCACAAAAATTTCCTTAAAATGAAAAGCTAGAAAAAGCTAAAAATCCACTTACCAAAACTATGACATATGAATCATGCAAGTATAAAAATTTGCCCTTTTCTTCTCATCTCATAACCAATTCCATATCGGTTCGTATTTCCCACATTGACACTCACAAAAATTTCTTAAAAATGAAAAGCAAGAAAAAGCTAAAAATTTCGTGGAACAATAGCTATAATCTCCTTGGCTATTTGGGCTTTTAGAATCCTTCTCCCAAACAATCTCCTCATCTAAACCCAACTAAATGGTACCTTGAATCACATGATTCGTCACTTTCGAGTCCAAGAAAACCAGTCATCCATAAATTTTCAAGAGTTTATTGACATCTCAAACCCCAATCTATAGAAGGCCTTCATATATTGTTACAATTTTACAATCCCACAACAATATTCAAAACAAATACACTACTAAATAAAAAAAAATAAAAAAAATAAAAAAAATAAAAAGAGGACAGTGAAAACAATCGAAAGAAAGGGAAAAGACACTAATTACACCGGAAAACTTATGACCTCATTAGTCCGTCTGAATGGGTGGAACACAACAAATCAACACAATCTTCCCATAAGACGAAGGAGTGACAAAAAATTGGAACAAAATCGAAGAACTAGAAAGCTTTCCAATTATCGGTAGATTCCTTCCTCGGCGTTTGTGATTCATTAGATGTCCTAAATGGCTCGCCAGACCCGAACGGG